TACAATATACTGATAACAATAATACTTAAACCACTTGACCCGACTGACAATGATACGGATTGTGAAGCAGGCACGTTTCCAGTCCTACCGTGGGTTTTGGTTAACAAACAAACTATTGAACCATTACATCATAACCAACAGATTTTCAATAAATTTTGTTGGTGAACAAAGAGGATTTTATTTCTAAAATACTTTAAATTAGAGATGGGCAGAGTACAAGTTGTACCAGGTAACGCTTGTACCGAGTACTACTTCGGTTGAATGTTATGCAAAATCTAACATTTGGTTAATTACTCGGTTCAATGCAAAAGCAGCTTTGAGATGCTAAAACAAGATTAGGTAAATATGCTTGCGATGGACTGCGCAGTAGAGCGGCCGATACCTCGATACACTTGTATTTACATTGCAATCTGTGCCAAAGTCCATTTGAGAGGAACAAAACAACAACTCTTGGCTTATGAAGCACAAGTGTTTTAATGTACAACTGTGTATAGCGCGAATGGTTATTTTCTAACGAAACAGGTATTGTCTGTGAAGGAAAAAGGAAGGGCACGGGCAGGGGGCCTAGTTTTCAACAGCACAACTTCGAATTTGTAAGTTTTAATAATAACTGTTCATTATTCACGTTTTATATCGGCTATTGTTAAAATTAATTGGTCATTGTTTTACTTAGTACTTGAGTTTTCTTTTTAAATGTATATCTGCCTAACTAATATACCTACTTTATTAAAACCCGAGTATGCATTTCTTGAACCCAGCTATTCACCCGAGTACGAGTAGTAAAAACAAAGAGATTTAATATATCTTAAATGTCTTTGTGTAAACATAATACCAAATACACTGAGTACCGAGTAATAAACAAGTACTCGGCACATCTATACTTTAAATGGTAAATGCTAGGTGAAAAATCTAACCAACAAAATAAATGTAAACTGAGAAGGTGAAGAAGAATTTTACAAGAGCAACCTCAATCATTTGAAAATACACTTGCAAGTCGTCTTGAACAAGAGTCACCACTCTCAAGTTCTTTGATAACGCCGCCCGCACCCGCGTTTGCAGTCTGGCCAGTTGAAGTTGGCCAAGCCAACTATATAAATAAGACATACAAGCATTTAGAATATAAATAAAATAAATTATTACTGAATTAAAATAGATTGAACTAAAATGTTCCATTATTAATTACCGACGAAAATTAAATTTCATCCAACTTTTAATACTTAGATTTAAAGCTTAAATATTTCTTCCAATTTTTGTCTTATACTGCAAAATAAGTTTTTTTAGAACAATACTTTTACATGTTTTGCCACCAACATATCTTTATAGCTGTATAGGACCATACTTTAATCATTATAATTAGAATTAAAAAAATGGCAAAACATTTTAGGGACAATTAAAAATTATTCACTTTAATTTAATATAACGAACATTGTGAAGTTTAGGTATTATTTTGACTGCCAACTTTATTATACAATAATTATGACAATAATAATGACATTAATAATGACTCGTTTTACATATATAACTTACATATAGTAGTTGGTATAACTTTCTAAAAAAATTTTCAATTCCTAGTAATCAAACATAATTTCAACGCGACAAATACATGCTCAATAAATTACCTTCATTCCATCGCTTCCTCTCTTAGAAAGATGGATGCTATATTTATCTGAAGGAAGAAGGATGAGAGGAGAGTGTTAGAGTGATTTAAACTTATATAAATGGGGCATTGTTTTTACAAGTACCGATTTTTCAATCGTCAGTTAAAAGTTATTCATAGACTAATCTATCTATCTATCTAACATCAACAAATAAAAAAATTGTTGTACCCTAACAATAAAATAATTCCATTATTTGACTTTTTATATTCAGTAAAGTTATAGCTTATTTGATAGATAAATAACTACTAACGATTGAAGAATCGGCCCTAAAAATATTGTAAAGTAACAAGAAAATAAATACATGACGTGACGTTAGGACGTAGTAAAGCTATTAGCAATTGAGTTAAATTTGATTCACATTATGATAAATTGATTTCAACTTTATTTATAATTTCCCGCAAAACTATATCATAAGAGAAAAATGGCGAAAAATTAAACAAAAAGCAAAAGACTGAAACAATCAATTCTAAACCAAACTATTCAATTCATTTGTTTAAAAATGTGTCTACCTAATATTACGTTGTATAAAACGCAAACACAAATATATTTACTAAAAATGTTTGACTTTCAAAAACGTTGTTGCTTGCTCACTACAGGATAAGTACAGTCACAACACTATCCCGATCTCAACTTTGTCAAACGTATACTTGTATGGCAATTAAAAGTTTCATTCGACAAATAATTTAACAAATGTTGCAAATTATTGTAAAAGTGAACTTCTAATAAATTATCGCAATGTCAAAATAGTGTTCCCCAAAATCTAGAACCAACGTTGTCAGAAAAGTTTACCGGGTTCAGTTTAATTTTGATCTAAACAAAAGCATCACATCTCAAAACTAAACTTTAAAATTCTCATAAAAAGATTAACATGAAAAATAGGTAAATCAAAAAATTAAAGTAACAGATTACAGGACATAAAGGGTAAACGTTTGATTAATCTCCGTGCATTTTTATGTCACGACATAAAAAATATAGATAAATAAAAACGACGGGTTGCACTCCGGGAGTGCCGGCAGAAGTGAAAACTTGAATATTAACGTTGGGCATTTTTGATATTTTGGAATGGGTAGGGAATAATTATGCACGAATTGCTTTAATTATCAGTATAAAAGTACTATCATTTATGTGGTAGAATACAATATTTATTTGGCATTTTCGCCGCGCCGTAGAAAGAGAGGGGGATACTTCCTCTCCTACGCCGCGCCGGCTGTCTACTCCCCATCCAGGTCACGTGTCCTGACGCGAGTTACATTTTTTACCCATTACAAAAAAAAGTGTACAACGCCGCTAAAGAAGTTTTCACTTCAAAATATTATGTAAATATTATCTGCTAATGAAAAGCAGCAATTTTCTAAGTACCACCACCTCCAGGTTTTTCTACGTACCAATACCTCAAAGATTTTCGATTAACATTAATTTTTATTCCCCAACTAGTGATCCGCCCCGGCTTCGCACGGGTTATTTTTGGAACTCGACTATAAATCTTCCTCTTGAATCATTCTGTCTATTTATGAAAACCGCATCAAAATCCGTTGCGTGGTTTAAAAGATAAGCGTACGGACAGCGGGATGCGATTCTTTTATGCTATATGTAGACATATTTGCCTTCAGCAACCGAGTATGTTTTTAGGTGGTAACTTTAAAAAAACATCTTTTATATCAATCTTTGCACGATTACCTTTTCTGATTTTCTATCTTTATATGACTATCGTCTTTTATTTAACAAAAAAAGAAAAGGTCGCCCTAATTTTATCGACATGAAAACAACTGCACTGAATTAGATCCTGTCAAATATTCAAACGCTCTCATGTTTAAAAAGCCGTTAACTCAAACCCTTTAAGTCAAAGTGACTGTGACACCACGAGACTTAACGGCATCTTAAAATTCAGTAGCGTTAAAGTATTTGGCCGTCACTCAACGATTGAACTGACTGCCCTGACGCATCACACTACGTTCTAACTGCCAATCACATAAATTCGCTAATACTAGGACCATGCTCTACTGCAAACGCTGTTATCGCGTAAAATTATGCTTTTTGACATACATGCGAAAATTTATATTTATTATTATATTAAGTTAGTATATATTATATAACTTCATACTATATTATATTATAAAGTTATAGGCTATATACGTTCTACAGATGGGCACAGCATTCTCATTTTTGTTACACGGAGGAACAATTAAACTAAAAATTTGTATGCCAGGTAAGTCAAATTTACACAGTAAGGCTTCGACGAAAGGCCTTGCATCGCTATCGTACCGATCGATCCGAAAGTCCTTAAGGGTGATACCACACCAATCGATCAATGCAATCGATGATGGAAGACGTCGTTCGATAATTTCTATCGAGTTGCTTAATTATTCGAGAATCTGCCCCGCTCCATCGACCGCTACGTAAAATGTCTAGATGAAATAAGCTATCTCTGGGCTTAAAAAAACGTTCGCACCAAGTCTTCTGCTTTGGCGTCTCAGTAATAAAATGATCAAGAACGCGTCCTCTTCTGAATACATTTTGAAAGATACTGATGGCAAGCCTACAACCACATCGATTAATTGTGGATCGATGATTGAACGTTTTATCGACCAGTATCCATCATTCAACTAAAGCTACCACACCAATCGATCGACGTAGATCAATGGCATCGATCGACGATCGATCGATTTGTGTGGTAACACCCTAAGCAATTCTTCATGGCAACAAATGAATTGTATACTTAATAACACAACCAGTATTACTTTAAATTTCTGATAAATATTTTTTCTATAGGCACTAGGTACACTTTGGCTGATTCACTTAAAATAAATATGATATATCACATCAAATGACTAAATATATAGAATAGAATATTTACTACATTACTATAATATAATTATGATCTAAAAAAAATATGAAATAACTAAAACGTAAGTAGTGAAATAGTGTGTTGCATCCTTAATATTAGAATGACCTACCTATCGTAAGCATATAAAATCCCATGTGATTATGACATTTAATTGCAATGCTTATAACTTGCACAAAAGTTCAATGAATCAAAACCTACAATTATCTATTTTTGAACATTCTGCAAATGAATAAGGAAAATTTCAGTGCAACAAACACTTGCATAATTAAAACAAGCAGTGGTACTTGAATGAAGTTGTCTTTTAAAACATATCTAAAAATAGCTTCACAGTAAGTCATTTCTCCTATTTAATAATATAGATATAAGTACAGAAAAAACATTATTTTTCTATTATTAAAATATGTCTATGACATCATTGCACTGCTTTATAAATACAAAGTTATACAACATTTTACATTAGATTACAAAAGCAAGCGTTTCATAATAAGTTAATAAATTTAAACTCCCCTCTGGAGGCTGGTGTGAGAATTGGATATCGAGCTTTGCTGCAAACTTTCATCCTCATCTGTATCATGATCGTTAGATATCCTGATAGCTTGGTACCATTGATTAGTCAAATCTGTCATTTGACTCTTGCAGTCCTTTAATTCCTGAATTCAAACAAGAAAATTTTTAAAAAAAACCCGACTACAAAAATATAATACTACTTAGTGGTCGTGTCATTCTAGACTCGACCGTCAGAATGCGCAAGCACCAGTTCTCAGTCACGATAAACAACTGAGTTTAGCGGCATTTTAATATTATAATGGCGGCTCCACATTATCGCCGTGAAGCTCCGTAAACAGGCGTGAACGTGAATGTGAACGGTTTTCGCGGGATCCACGCGCGTTCACGCCTGTTCCCTGATCAGAGTCGGTATTTTGTCCCGCGACAAAGGGTTCACGCACCCTCCGCGCGGCGTTCATGCGTACACATTCACATTCACGGAACCGTGCCAGTTCGTTTCGGACTACAAAGGCGTACGAACGATGTATATTAGCCATACACCATCTTTTTATTTTCCAACGCTTTCTAATAATTTTTTTGTTTTGGACGACTAAATAGTGATAAGTTGCCACAGCAAATAAAGTATTTGCAGCAGCAGCTTCTACGTCCGTTTCGCAACGAGTTTCACGAACGATTGTGAGCATCCCGTGAATGTGGAGGGCACTGCTTGTGTCATGAATTAATGGCGTGAATTCACGGCGATAATGTGGAGCCGCCATAAAACTGTATTGCATATTATTTAATAATTTAATTTAGCCTAATGATATTTTCAAGCGTCGTATCAAATTGACACCACACAAAGGTATATCTAAAGGCACTGCATGCTTCTAGTCCCGTTCCAGATCCGTTTAGGGTGTCACAAATAAACAATACTTATACACAGTATTTATACAGTACTTATACTTCTATGTACTAAAACGGCAATTCAGAACAAAAACTGTGTCACAGCTGTGGTTCGTGCGGCCGCGAACGCGCGCGGGTAGCTGCCACGGTAAATACGCTACGCAGTTGTATTTGCAACCGACTTCAAAGAAAAAGAAGGTTCTCAATTCGACTCTATTTTTTTAATGTGTGTTACCTCCATAACTTTTTTCTAGGTGTACCGATTTGATGATTATTTTTTTAATTTGAAAACTCGTGGCCTCATTTGGTCCCTTATAAATTTGATCAAGATCTGACGACTAGTTTTTGAGTTATCCTTAATAATTCGTATTTAATTGATGTCAACTACATTGGTATTGGTGTTAACATACGCTTGCCAGTCATGGAAATTTACTAGAAAAGTTAAAAACAAAATAACTACATGCCAGAGAGCACATGGAGTGTAGTATGCTAAAAATAAGAATAATATATAAAGTACGTCATACAAAATAAGAAATATCACAAATGCTATTGATGCTCTGAGTTATGCTCAAAAGTTAAAATTTCGATGGGCCGGCCATGTAGCACGTCTAGAAGATAAGAGGTGGACTTCCATCGTAACCACATGGAATGGTCCACCAGGAAAAAGACGTCCAGGCAGACCATACATGCACTGCTAAGATGACATTGAAAAGATCGCGGGACCACGTTGGACACAAATAGCAAAAAATAGAGACAAATGGAAATCTTTGGAGGAGGCCTTCACCTAAGGGTCCATGCAAAGCAAACAAACACAAATGAGTATATAGATTCTTAATACATTATAAATTAAAATTTTTGGCAATTTGCCATTAATTTAAATTAATGTTATCCTATTCATAATGTTATAAAAAACCAAATCCATTAAAAATAGTCATTTAAAATTTATAAATCAATTAGATAGATTGAAAATATTAATGTTATTAGTAATGCACATTTAAATTTTAACCAAATATAATGAAAAATAGTTATCATACCCAAAATTATGACATCAATTATTACCTCAATCAAATTAATTCATTAATATAGAAATAAATTAATGTACAGAATTAAATTAAAATTAAATTAAATAAATATATTAAAATCTAAAAAATAATAAATTAATGCATGAAAATCTACAAAAAAAAGATTGATATATATTAATGTATTTAAAAAAAACTAAATTTATATTTTCAATTTCCTTTATAAAATGCAAATTACATTGTAAAAAAGTTATATTGTAAAACTTATTTAGCATGGAATGAAAGGCTTTTTTTATTTATTTTTTTACATTGGTGTATTGAAGTCGGTTGTACAATTTTTTTTAATTTTACCGGCAGTTATTTCGACAGTTACTATTTTTAGGCACATACAAAATAAAGTTACATACTTCTCGCCTACTCGCAGTCGACTAAAAAAAAAGTTAGTCAGAGAATTGTGAAAAAGAAGGTAGTCGGATAAAAACCGGAGAATTGAGCGTAACTTAGTGCGCAATATATCAAGACCGCAGAGCCGGTCTACTAGTATATATAAAAGTCTCTGGTCAAACATACATGCTTACATATACCCAAAAACAATACCCTCCTTCTGGGGTAGTCGACTATAAACTACAAACTGTCTGCTGGGTTTTCGGTTTTCACTAGAGCGCGAGCGGATTTCGCTTTCAGATTTCTGCAGTTTTCGTTCAAAATAATAGCTTTTGACTATGTTTGGCTGTCAGTTGTAATTTATATTTTTTCGGCGCGCACCGAAAACGAAAATACTTTTATTATAATTATTAAGTTCAGCGGGTCAAATTTATGCAGACAGGCGTAGTAATTAATTAGGAGAAAAATTACTATTATCAGACTGTTTAGAACTAATTATTACATTTTCATTAAAATAAAAAGGTGGGTATTTCGAGAAAAAGTAGGTATGTGACCCCTTACACCTTTGTAGTCTGCCTTGTTTAATTTTGGATGTAGATATCCACGAGATAAAGTAGCAACATACTATGAAGTGAATTGAGGACTAACGATTCATTGTTTATTTTAGAAATTAAACTTTTTATGTAATAGTAAACATAAAAGGCAAAAGCTTTCAATAAGTAGGCACTACCTACCTGATGAGTGAATCTTCTAGTGAAGAATGGCGTCAGATACTTCATATCCAACCGTACAAAGCCTTTCAATCTTGTCGCGTGAGAATAATTAACCTGAAAATATATTCGTTAACGTTTATTATAACTTTTTATTTTGATAAAAAACAACATACATAATAAGTTAAAAATAATTAACACGCGAATATTATGATTTAACCCTAAAATATACACTTCGGCAAGGTTAATCTGTGAAATATACGATTTTTTTTAAATTATTTATTTAATTTCATATCATTTTTATTTCATAATATTATTTCAAACTTTTGTATTTTATTATATCTGTGCTAAATAATACACTATTGATTTTCGGGTCGTTTCTACAAAAAATAGGGCCATGGTCAAATGCCATCATCCACCTTCTATCTCTAGCCTACTTTAAAAAAGAGGAGGTTTACAATTCGACTGTGTTTTTTGTATGTATGTTACGCGATATCTTCTTCAATTGAGACCCGATTTTTTGTAGTAGTGATTCTGTTTCTACGTAAATCCATGACACTGTAATATGTTATTTTGTTACGACAACGCGTCATATACATCTCTTGTCGGAGATTTTTAATAAAAAACTTTTCTATAAACCCTTTATTTTTTGTGTTTCTTTTGCGTAAAAGAATACGTCATGCAATATATTTGTCGCAGCGCCTCTGTGGGTAGTCGGAATTATTGTAAACAACACGTGCACCGCACACCTGCGCATTGCACCTGCAGTGACGCAGCGGCCGCCGTTAAGGCAGTCTTGGCGCTGGCGTGGCACGGTTCACTTGTTGTATCCCGCTACTAGCTCATCCTAGACTGTTCGGATAATTAATTCGTGGAAACGAATTAATTATTATTATCAGCTATTAAATTAGTATCTGTACAATTTAAAGTTGATTACCTGTGATCCGTGTATTTTGTGAGTGTAAATTAATTCTATTTAACTAACTTCCTACATATTCACTATTTAATAGACCGATTAGTCTCATTTACATTAAGTCAAAGTAAGATTTAAAATGATATAAGAAAAAATTATTCTTACCTCAAGTTCTTCCTCTGTTATTTCAGACAAATGTTCCGAATCAATAGCTTGGCCCCACTCTTTAGTTTTAGACAAACTTACTTCCTTTTGCTTGCGAAGTGATCGTGAGCGTTTTGTCTTTTTGTTAGCCTGAAATTGTTTAATATCTATTTATCAACCTGAACTTATGATTGGAACCAGCACTAGTATATAGGTACAAGAGGAGGAAATATTTTTACATAAATTTAATAATTGTTAGAAAATCAAACTTCAATCATGGTAGCCACGCTGCCTTCGTCATAATATTTATTGAATGTAAACAATCTTAAAATTTTCTATAAAATATTCATATCGCCATCGTAATTCTTCCAACTTATAAGATCGTCAGCAATGGACTTCTAATATGGGTTGGTAATAAAAAATTATTGACACCCTTCCCTTATACATATTCGAAAAAAATTGGATCATAGAGCTAAAATATTAAATCAGATCAGAAGAGAGCGAGGCGAGAGAAAATTAGATAGAGTCAGAGTTAGAATCTAAATACGGACCGCTCCTGGGACCGACTTCCCTCTGATTTCTAGAGAAGGTTTTAGGGCTAGGAAGTGTCCACCGCGATGCCCCGGTGCGTGTTAGCCTTAGATGATGAAGTACAAATTTATAACGTTGCTTATTGTATTCATTACATATACTTATGGAAAACTAGCATAACACAAGCGCAAAAGAGATAACTTACTCGTAAAAATTTCAACAAGGGCATTGTAGAACCACCAAAGAATAATGTAGTAAACAGCACAATAATTAAGGTCGTCGTAATGATGACATGGCGAGTCTCGTCAGAAAATTCAAGATGTAGTGATAATGCATAAGAGATTGCGCCACGTAATCCTATAATAAACAAAATAATAAGAGTTAATTCTTGTAATGAACGTTTTTTTATGTACTAGTTCAACTCTGATAAAAAAAAATTATAGAAGAGGGGGCAAACGAGCATGCAGCTCACCTGATGGTAAGTGACTACCGCCGCCCATGAATAACCACAACACCAGGGGAACTGCAGATGCGTTGCCGGCATTTTAGAAAGGAGTAAGCTTTTTTCTTGAAGGACTCTAAGGCGTCAAAATCAAATCTTTTAATTTCTAGAACCAGAGTGACCTACATAGCCCAACGGATTAGTTAGCTGAAGTGGCAAAGGGCCAGCTGGCTATATTGCTCGAAGAACCGACAACTGATGGGGACAAAGGTTCTCGAGTGGTGCCCTAGATGGCACTAGATGGAGTGACGAACGGGTGAGACATGCAGGAAGTTAATGGATGCAGGTGGCTCAGAACCATACTTTGTAGCATTCCTTGGGGAGGCCTATGTTCAGCAGTGGACTTTGAAGGGCTGAAATGATGATAATGAATACACATTTCTTGTACTTCCAAGATATGCTGACTGCAATGCGATTGTGTAACTCTAGTGGGACTCGTTGACTGGATATTCATATAAAAGAGACATCACCTTATAATCCATACGAATACATTTACCAAATACAATGAAACTAAATATCAACGTCAAAATAAAGCCCGCCAATATTCCCCATATATGAAGCACTCTTGAGGCATTTTTGACTATGTTAGAAAACATGTGTGACGGAAAGCTGAGATAGAGAAAACGCCAAGACAACCATTCCTAGTTTTTTTTTGTGAAAGAGATAAGCAAGTTTTTTTTTTAAATTAGTCGAGTGAATCCTTAGTGACAGCTTGAGCTCTGCCTTCCATACATATTAAATAAATTCTGTAAAAACTCTTTGTAATTTAAAAAGTAAATACTGTTCTCATAAAGGAAATGGAAATATAAGATGTAAAGGAATCCACTAGCCCATATCACCTCGTGGGTGTCGTAAGAGGCGACAGACAAAAATGAAACACGAAATAGGCAGCAGTCACTTCCTGATAACTAAAATAATAAAAAACAGAATACTATAATACATACATAATAGAACGAAATAAATACATAAAGAATAGAACTAAAATGCCACTAACACGTCAATTCATACGTATAAATGTCAACACGAGATATCTTTTGACGTTACAATCGATTCCAAATTTCGCATTCAAATTATTTAGAAAATGCCAAATTGCGCGCTATTTACAAATAAATATGTATTAAAATCCATCTGTCAACACAGCGAATCAGGTTTTTAGTAGTAAATAACTGATAATACGACGTAATTGGTTGTGTGTGTGCTCCCGGCGATGCCTATCGTCGTACAAAATAAGGTTAACAGCCATTCTATTGTGTATTATAGTATTCTATGATAAAACACAATGCGTCCCAAACTGGATACCAATGTGTTTTTAAATGGGGAAGAATTGAATCTTCTGTTTTTTTTTTTTGGCATCACTCTCGACACTAAGCTTAAGTGTGGCCCCCATATATCTAAACTAGCAAGCGGAATAAGCTCTGCAGGTTATGCTGTAAAAATACTAAAGATCTCACTAGTGTGGAGACAGCTAACCATAGTCCTAGCAATCCATACTCACTTATGCCATTACTTCCTAGGGTGGTGCTTCTAAAACAAAAATGCTCCCACTAAAACGTGCTCAGAGAGCAATTCTAAAGGTAGCCACTTTCCGTCCTTTCATGTTTCCTACACATCAACTCTACTTGACATGTAGGGTACTAACTGTCCGTCAGTTGTTTATTCTGAACATCATATTAAAACTGCATACCGAATTTCCATTTAATTTAAAATCCATAGACAGGAGAAGAATGGACTGTTTGTGTAAACCCTCAAACCAAACATGCATTTGTGAACAGATTTTACATATTTTAGGACCATTTCTATATAACAAGCTTAACAAGGCACTAAAAATATAAAGTGTAAGTTATAAGAAATGTAATATAATTGTAAGGGAATTTCTGAATAAATTAAATTATGAAGACTCAGAGAAGTTGTTAAAAATTCTAAAATAGTTTTGTATTAATTGTAGGTTACAGGTTTAATTGTTATTAAGTTATTTTATTCATTATTTCCGTCACTTCGGGCAGTATGTACCATGTAGGGAGGATTGCTTTAATGAGGGTATTCAAAGGACAATCATTTTCCGCTTACCAGATGTCGCTAGTTCAGTGTGTTTTTTGTTACACAATGTCATTTAATTGGGAAGTTAGTTTTAAATAAAAGTTCATCAGTTTCTGGAGTATTATATTAATCCAAAAAGCAATGCCTCAGTAATTTGCTCTTTAAGCTTTTGCTCATTTTAAACTTTTTATTTTTATGTTACTCTTTAAGTATATTTGCGGTTTGATTTATTGATACTTTTTAATATTAACATTTTTTATAGAGTTGGGTGAAACACGAGCACACAGTCCACCTGATGGTAAGTGGTTGCTGTGGCCCATAGACATCCACATTTATCCTCCATTAAGGATCAAAATGCAAATGTATTGTCACCTCTGAAGACTAAGATGGAATGCCTTGATTCCAGTAAAATGGTCTCAAGTTCTCTACACTCACCATATGAAACACAGCAGCATTACAGCAGCATGAGAGCGTGGTCCAGCCCCGGTCAAGCCAACCCATTTGTGCTACAACTATAATATAGTTGCAGCATGACTCTACCATGTGAGAACGTCACCGTATCTTTAATCAAATTAATATATAATATAACTAAGATAGAAAGAAACAATATTTAACAAAAAAAAAACAAATTAACTTTCCAGCTATGTAATCTGTCAAATATATCATATTTGGTAGGCAGATTGATGATCACAGTGCCAACACCAAATTGGCACTGCGATCTGAATATTTTGTCCGCCGTAAACAAGATGGTATAAAACGATCTTTCTGAAGTTATAAGGACACCCAAGGGACGAAGTGGGGTCATGCAATATCTTAACTCTACACACAATAACGTATTTTATAATGTTATATACTGTTATATACCACTGAACCACATTATGAACATCATTTTCTTTGTTATCTTGTGCTCACGGAATTTATTGCAGAGTAATGCAAGCGGGAATATGTTAGCTGCTCTTCCCAGTAAACACATAACTATGCTCCAAACCACAAGAGCTGGCTCCACACGATGACGAAAACTGCAAAAGAAAACTGCTTGTACCGAATGCACAATTAGCGTTCTATATAACGTACATATGTTCAAACAAAAATAAAATCGTTAACCATGGTTTACGTGGAATACATTGTTGTTTACTAAAAAGGCCACCTTAAGTATATGCAATAGAGTATAAATAAATAAATAAAATAATGTTAGACGTTTCAAAAAAAATAAAGCATTGGAAGATAATTAAAAAAAAAAGATAAAAAAATGTTATAAAAAGTAACAGGTGATCCTGAGATAAAAATCTTGGCTCCCTGAGCTAACCAAGATTATCCCATTCGCAGATTCAAATACAAGAATAATTTCGGTTGACAGACCATCACACATGTTGGTCACCTCAAGAGCCCAATACAGATATTTTGTTTGCTTATCTGTTTCCACCTTTTTTTATAGGATATGGCGACAAATGAGCAAACAGTCCACCTGATGGTAAGTGGTTGCTGTGGCCCATAGACATCCATCCTCGATTTTGAATCAAAATACAGATGCGTTGTCACCCATGAAGACTAAGATGGAATGCCTCGTTTCCAGTACAAAAGGTTTCCAGTTTCCTACACTCATCATACGAAACACAGCAGCAGCATTAAGCTACTATTTTACGCTGGTATTCTGTGAAGGTGTGGTCCTTCCCCGGTCAAGCCGACCCATTCATGCTACAACTATACTTTATATATACCTTGTCACCTGTACAAGGTTCTCATAATTGTTTGTAATGTTGATAAAATATATCCTTGACTTTGTCCGCTCCATTACACTATATTAGGCTTATGCGCAAGAATAGTCCTGTCTGTGTTGATTAACATTCATTCCGAATGTCATGGTCATATTCGAGCACCACTGCAGGCAAGTACTTATAATAAGGCAGTTTCTGATCCACAAGACTGTATTTCAGAAAGAGCTCTTAGTTTAGATTTCTGGCTACTTGGTTGTGTTTGCAACGTCAAGTTTGGATGGCTCAGCCCTTCCATCTCTTGATAAGGTGCTTACTGACTGCACCATATAGCAGTTTTGTCACTTAACTATTAGTCAGGAGGCCATATCTTCCCTATGCCTGTTTTTTATTTATTATTTTAAATTCATACAATTTACCTTCAAACTTTATCCACATGGCTTGTCAATAATCAATATACAATTTTAAAAACATTATTGCTTACCTGAAAATAGCTAAACCCAAATAAGCAAATACGCATGTTTCAGCTATAAAAGCCAGTGTCCTCATTGTCTGCTGCATGGTGACTTGTGTCACAGTAGAAAGATTAAAATGTGTGTAATGAGACATTACAATTCCACAAAAAAGTATTGCCATGATTCCTGCAAATAAAATATTCATGAAAAATATAGAAAATCAGATACACAATTTTGTTTCATCATCATCATCACTATAGCCCATCATATGTGGGCATACAAGTTCACTGCTGAACACAGGCCTCCCTCAAGAAATAGCATAATACATGGTCTTGCTACCTGCATCATCAACTCCCTACATTTATTAGCAGGATGTCTCTCCATCCAGGTGGATGGCTGTGCTCTTCACTTAACAGTACAAGGTTGCCACTAAAGAACCTTTTTTATCCATCAGTCGTCAGTTCTTCGAGATATTTGACTGGCCCATTATCACTTCAGCTTACTGATCGTTAGGTAATGTCAGAATTTTGTTTAATACTATGTACACAAAATTTAAACCTAGTTGTTGAATTTCTGTATGCTAAGAATATTTTAATAGTAATTTAAAATGGGACAATCTTAAGCTGAAAAAGTGCTCACCTGATAAGTGGATACCCTCAGCAAGAACATAGGGTGCATAAGTAAATACTAACATCATTCCAAATTCAAGAGAAGGATTTTTCCGAAGGTCAACATGTTTAAGTAAAAGTGCACTTATTAGTGCAAAAACAACTCCAATGCCAGCAGAAGCAAAGAACATCAACCAAAACCTATTTATAGCTGACAAAATGGCCTCATATGTTGACATCATTGGATCATTTGAGTCCAAAACAGCAGTAGTAAGAACAATAGCCACAGCATCATTAAGAATACTCTCACCAAACACTAACATATTTAATACTGGGTCTACATCCAAAGCATGAAAAATAGCTACTGTGGCCACAGGGTCAACAGCCGAAATTAAGGATCCAAAAGCAAAGGATTCTACAAAGCTCAATTTATATACCACTTGAGCTAATCCTAATAAATATATACCAGCTCCAATAACAAACGCAGATATAGCCGTTCCAACTATTGCAAACAGTAAAATGGATCCAATATTCTGAAAAAAGTTGCCTTTGTGTAAATTATACCCTGACTCAAAAATAATAGGAGGAAGGAGCACTAAAAAGAAAGCTGTAGGAGAAAATGCTTCTTCTTTCCTCCAATTGGCTATATTTCTTATGGACATCAAATTGATAATCATACCAATCAAACCACCAAGAAATACAATAACAACACTTTCAGGAAGGTATGAAAATCCTGTTTGCAACATAAGATGAATTAATAAGATACCAAGAGCTAAAATACATAATACAAAAAATATAGCCATTGAACTGTTATGTTCATCTTCAGCAGAACTTTTTCCAGGTAAGGGTGCTGCATCTGACGGATTTACTTCAGATATATTTGTGGCTGATGATGAAGACGCATTTACTTGAACTATGGTCAATATTGAAGTATTAGAAGGCCCTACATCATAAACAATATTTGGAGAATCTGTTGAGGAACTAGTCAAGGTCGAAGACATCAACGGTTTAATACTTTCACTAGTTAAACTTGTCTCACTAGAGCTAAGTACATTATGTAGGCTTTCAGCTCTTTTTGGCCTTGATATTTTTTTATAATTTTGTCCAAAACTTGATTCAAAATAGTAATTTTTTTGAATATCCTTATTTAAATTTTCCTTTTGATCAATTATAGTCTCGTGTTGGCCATATGATACATTCATTATGCAAAATAAATATATCCACACACATAGTTTATATTTTGTTATGCTTTGCATTTTGATTTTGATTATACTTTGATACTTTTTATCCCTTGTTAGAGTAGTATATTCCTTGCTTAGATATATTTCACTATTTCACTAATATTCGCCCCGTTTAAGATTTTTATCGTAAAAAATATCAAAGTTACACGCAGGCTCTACAATCTTAGAATTAGAACCAATTAGAACATAAAACTTGGAAACTTTTCAAAGGTACTCTGTGGTTACACGTATTTCTAGAATTTCATAAAATCTCCCGATTATAGTAAAAGCTTGTCTATGGGTGCGTTTGCAGAAAAAAGCGCTAGCAAGCGCTCGTAAGCAAAATGGCGATCGTAAGCGGTAAGCGCTGTCAAATCGTAAGTGGCTATTTTCCTCCAAGACGCGATGTTAGTTTTAACCGGGGAACCTAACCTAATTTAAATACATGTTTGTAAAGTATTCATATTAAAAACTTACCAATTATGAATTTTAATAACATGTATATGTTTATTCATGTCATTATATTAATATTGCGCAAAACAACTTATAAACTCTTCTTCAAATCAAACAAATTAAATAAGCAAAATGGTGGATTGTGTCAACGCTACTGAAGCAGCAATCGTGTCCTGGCCGAAAACTATTTCAGCGCTTATGAGCGCTTGCTAGCGCTTTTTTCTGCCAAACGCACCCGTAGACAGAGAATGCTAGGATTCTCTGTTTACGCTACATATTTATTTATCTATGATATCTATTTGTCTATGGCTGAAGGCCGGTGTTGGTCGGTGTTGGTGGTTTATGTGCATTTACTTTAACGTATTGATTTTCGCGTAAAATTATTATGGAACCGAATCCAGTAATTATTGCTGCAACTGCTAAACAAACAGCATCTGTAAGTTATAAGCTATAGTTGTTTATACTATGATTATGTTTTGAATTGACTTCTATATTTTTGTTTCAGCTTATTTTTTTACACGGTTTAGGTGATACCGGGTACGTATTCATTTAGTTAATCAACTTTTGAAAATGTAATTATATTCAAATAATTTTTTATTTATAGGCATGGTTGGGCAAGTACTATTGCAGCTATTAGAGGTCCTCATGTTAAGGTCATTTGTCCGACTGCTTCAACAATGCCAGTGACACTCAACGCTGGTTTTCGTATGCCTTCATGGTTTGATCTTAGAACTCTAGATGCGACTGCTCCCGAAGATGAAGAAGGGATACTTAGGGCGACAAATCTTATTCATGGATTAATATCTGAAGAAGTTAAGGTTAGTCCAATATTTGTTATTATGCGAAATATATCGTAATTATACCTTAATATTACATTTATATTTGATTCAAACTATTTGAATTTGATGATCATGGGGTAAACAAATTTTATGGACTTTGCGGTGTTTAATTTTACCTCATTTCTCACAAGGGGATGGGGCTCCTGTAAAGCATTCAAAACATCCCATCAATTCTAGATATTAGATACAATATTATAATGTACCAAATTTTTCAAAATCATTTAAGTTAGTGGTTTTGGAACCAGCGGTAATAGAATTAACAAGTGAGCTTAAAATAGGGTTGCTAGTTTGGTCTTCTGATCTGGCATTTCTAGCTTAGAGTCATGACATGTATATAATAGGGTTGTACTGTGTTATTTATATTTAAATATTTTCTAAAGTGGTAGGACTCAATTTCTGCCAAGTGGTCTTTTTACCTCTTACTATCTATTTGCAGTAAATAGAGTATATGTTGCTTGAATGGTATAGAGCACAGTTTCCCATTTGCTGGGTCGCGACCCAGTACTGGGCCATCAAAATAAAATACCAGGTCGCAACATACCCGCATACCTACTACTACTAGTTTACCTTAAAATAAATATAGAAACCGACTTGAAGTGGAACCAGACTGTAGGATAAAACTTTCGTCATTTTCTGTAAACTTGGATTCTTTAGTGAAAAATAAGCAGCTCCATACTTCACTTTAAAATTTAGTGACTAAATAATTAGATTAAATAATTTAGTGACAAAATATGTAGTATAATAAAATTTTTATTATTAATAAATGTGTATTATTTTAATAATGGAACCAGCTTGGGTTTAAAAGTATTAAGTGGGTCACGAAGGGCCAGTGTGAAAATTACCAAAAAAAAACAATGTTTGGGAAACACTGTGTAACAGTGGTAGAGCCACCGGGCAGCTTTGCTGTTGCACGTATGGGCCGGCTCAAACCGGGGTGGTACTACGACCTCACAGAATACCGGCGTGAAGTGGAAGCTCTGCTTCCGCATTTCGTCTGGTGAGTGCAGGTGGCCGGAGGCCCCAAATCTCCCAACCCCCATCAACATGGTAGCGGAATTAAATAATGATAGACTACCCCAGGACGAGAAAATAGGTAGGTGATGAAAGGAGAGGTAACCAGCACCCCTGGAGAATCCCTCGCTGAGCATCCACGACCATGTTTCTCCACTTCTGAGCGTGGGTGCTCAGGCTGCCCCGCGTATTCTGGGGGGGGGGGGGGCAAAATTCCGCTCAAGACTACAACTGCTCGGGGCAAATGGAGCAACAAGACCAAGGCGACCCCTGCCACTCTATCCGTGAATTTCTGCAATATCATGGGACTTCACTCTAACCTAAACGCCGTCCACTACCATCTCGAGACGGCGAGGCCTCTCCGGCTGATGTCTCATATCTCTCCTACCCGGGGTACAAACTGGAACACTCCTTTGTGCCTCGGACTGGAGTTTGCATTTACGTCAGAGAAGACATCTGTTCTCGACGTCTCGGCAGACTTGAAGGTTCAGACCTGTCCATCCTTTGGCTACGCGTAGACAGCGACGACCATCCGCGCGTCTGCGGGTGCCTCTGTAGATGCGATAGCGATAATGTCGAAACAGACCGACTCTTCGACCACGTGCAATTGGCTACAGATTCGTTGCTACAGCAGATCCCCTCCACAGAGAACGTGATCCTCGGCGACTCTAACGCCCATCACGCCGAATGGCTTGGTTCACGTTTAACCGATCATGCAGGGAGATCTGTTCATGATTTTGCCTTGGCTTATGGTCTGACACAACTGGTTACTTCGCCTACGCGGATTCCAGATGTGGAGGATCATGCACCTTCCCTGTTGGACCTTCTGCTGACCTCTCACCCGGACGGATATTCAGATCTTCCGTCGAAGCCCCTTTAGGCTCCTCGGACCAGTGTCTTGTCTGGAGTGTGGTGACTCACGCTGAAATCGCAGTTGCATTCTGCAGGCTGTCGCTGTGTTTGGTACTATAGGTCAGCCGATTGGGATGGGATGCGGTCTTTCTTTGCATCCTACCCTTGGGGGCGGGTTTGCTTCTCGCCGGACGATCCCAACGTTGTTGCGGATTCTGTCGCTGATGTGGTACTTCAGGGTATGGAACTTTTTATTCCTTCCTCTGTGGTGCCCATTGGAGGCAAATCTCAGCCATGGTTTGGTCGCTCCTGTAAAATAGCATCTTGCTATAAGCAGGAGTGATACTGAGCCTGGGCTGACGCATCAGCGTCCCGGGATGTAAACACCAGCGCTATAAAAAAGAAGTATAATTCCGCCTCTAGGTCCTTCAAAAGAGTCATTGCCAAGGCAAAGGTCAGAGCACATAGGCAGAATTGGCGAGAAACTAGTTCGCCTTCCTTCTGGAACCCGTGCATTCTGGTCTCTCGCCAAGGCTGTCCAGGGGAATTTCTGTCGGCCATCTCTTCCATCTCTGCACAGGGAGGACGACTCACTGGCCCATACCGCAAAGGAGAAAGCCGATCTTCTAGGCACTTTCTTTGCGTCCAACTCGACTCTCGATGACGGGGGGAGTACGCCGCCCACCAACCCGCGGTGTGAGTGCTCCATGCCGGAAGTGCGGTTCACACAGCGCTCGGTTCGCAAAGCACTCCTCTCCCTGGACATCCACAAATCGAGTGGTCCTGACGGAATCCCCCCAATTGTGCTGAGGACGTATGCTCCAGAGTTGGCACCGGTTTTAACGCGTCTTTTCCGGTACTCCTACTCCCTAGGCGTAGTCCCAAAATCATGGAAGACGGCTTTCGTCCACCCGATCCCTAAAAAAGGCGACCGCTCAGACCCGTCCAACTACCGGCCTATCGCCATCACCTCCTTGTTCTCCAAAACAATGAAGTCTATTGTAAACTGCCAGCTCATGAGGTACCTTGAGGATCACCAGCTGATAAGTGACCGCCAATACGGTTTTCACCGTGGCCGGTCAGCTGGTGATCTTCTGGTCTACCTAACTCATAGATGGGCGGAGGCAGTTGAGTCCAAGGGGGAGGCATTTGGGTTTGGCACAAAGCGCTTCTTTCGAAGCTCCCTTCCTATGGGCTTCCCGAGAAATTGTGCGATTGGATCACCAGCTTTCTTGCAGATCGGAGCATCAAGGTCGTTGTAGACGGTGCAAGCTCCGATTGCAAGCCTATTAATGCTGGTGTTCCACAAGGCTGCGTGCTATCGCCAACGCTGTTTCTTCTGCATATCAATTATATGTTGCAAACCCGTAACATTCATTGCTATGCAGATGACAGCACTGGTGATGCTCTTTACAGCGGCCGAGCCAATATTTCTCGGGAAAACGTTTCCGAGTGCCGGGACAAACTTGTGTCTGAAGTAGAGTCTTTGCTGAACAGAGTTAACCCCACAAGTTTGCGTGTTAACCGCTATAAGGAACCCCTTTGTTGTATCTCCTCAGTTTCAAGGCACTCCCCTTGTTGCCTCAGCCAGTATCAGAATCCTCGGCGTTGACATATCGAGTGACGTGCAGTTTCGTGGTCACTTGGAAGAGAAGGCCAAATTAGGCTCTAAAAAGCTTGGCGTGCTCAGGAGAGCGGGACAGTATTTCATGCCGGCACACCGCCTGGCGGATTCGGCCGCACATGGAATACTGTTCCCATCTCTGGGCTGGGGCTCCCCAGTACCAGTTCCTTCCATTTGACCGCATCCACCGCAGAGCGGCTCGA